GCTGAACCGAACCAGAGCTTTGGGATCGTGCGATGAAGAAACGAAACGAACCCAAGGATACAAAATTTACCCTTCGTTAGAGAGCAAATATTCTAGCGCTAACTCGCGACGAATAAACCAAGAAAACCGACACGTGGGAACGATCCAAGATCCTTCGTCGAACGCGAAGCACCCCTTCTCTATTAATCCCCAAGTAACCACTTTGGCTCGCGAATCACGACCAAACCTGCACCCAAACACGCCAACGAGCCGAAGAAGCGGCAGCAAGATGGTGGAGCAGCGATCCGCGCGGAACGGAAGAAAACGTCGCGGAAAAGAAGAGATAGATCTCTGATGAGAGAAGCAGCAGGAGCAAGGCGAACACGGAGAGCGAGAACGGTGGCGGGAAGAGGAGAGAAAGAAGAGGACGAGGCGGAGGACGAGCGTAGGTACGTTTCATTCGTTGTCGCAACAAAGGGGCCCCCGGGTGGCTTCGCAAACAGAAACCGGAGACCGTGGTCTGTGTATGAATTTCCGCAGCTGGGTACGGGAGACAAACAGATAGCTAGTTATTTCTGCATTCAACGGCTGAATGGCCGACGCGTCTGGAACGACGCAGCGGCGCGATACAGACCGACTATTATTGGCGAACCGGAGAGCACGAGCGAAGAATTCCAACGCGCGCCACAGCGCCGTGTGTTATCGTCCTCGCGGACGAAACGGCACCGTCATCGCCGTCACCGGGGCCATCATTGCCGGTTTGCCATTTAGGAACACGCTCTCGACACGGCCGTGGCGTCCGACCAACGTTTTTCGTGGCCAACTTCTTGCCTTCGCCGGGCAACGATCCGAAAGGGAAGAAGAGCAGACGAGACCGGAGGGAAACAGGGTGACGATGATTGCAGGATAATGCGGGGGTTCGTGGGGAATTAGGGGTGCGTGGAGGGCTCGCTAAATGGCGCGAGAGACGCTTAGGAGTGAGAGGTTAGAGGGCGAGATATCATCGAGGGTTGCCGAACAGCGTAATCTGATTAGGACTTTGATCTTGATTTTCTACGAGCGAATAGAGGTAGAATTCGAGATGTGGAAATTGTGGATGGTCGACAATCGTGGATATTGGAACGTATAAAACGTTGGCTAGCCATCTCCATCTCCGTGGCAGTGTATCGCCTGCCTGGCAAGACTTAATTATCGTGCAGCAGCACGGTGTCGCCATTCGTGCGTACAACGTTGTACCGCTACTCTTCTGTTTTCATTTACAAAAGCGCCTATTCTTCGCGCTGCCATGTGTCATCAGGGACGGAAAGCGACGAAGGGAAGTGCTCGGAGAGACGGAGAACGAGGGACAGACACGGCGCAGAGCAAGACGAAGACAGGGGAAGAGAGTGGAATATCTTTTGCTAGGAGAGCACTTTATTTTCCAAATGGCTCCTCTCCATTCCCAGGTCAGAAAGGTTGACTAAAGCGAGAAAGTCAACCGGCAGGCATTGTTGCAGCCGGTTTGTCGATATTTCACCCACATCGCGCCCTCACGGATTCGACTCCGGAGCAATGTCGAGAGTGGACTTTCAATCGAAAGCCCGATTTTGTTCTGCGAATTTATGTACATTCTACTCCGGAACCTTCTGCTTCGGATAGTTGGCGGAAACTTGGAGCGTAATCTCGTTGAGAGCTAGTTCCAAAGTTCTCGGGGTAAATTCCTGGTCGACCAGCACGCTGCGATGATTTCCTTCCGCTCGAGAGATTAGACATTCATCCGTTACAACGGATGAGAACAGTCTTACTGCGAGATAATTATGGCACGAGTATCGAGTGGAAGCCTTTCTTCGTAAATTACGATAAAAATCGATACGCTTCTAAGAAACTCGTGCAGTGCAATAACGAATAAGAACGACGAAGAGAATAAAAGCAATACGAATAATGCTTTAGCAATTTACCAAACGTACGTATATTACACAGCTCTCGAGTTGGAGACTTGACGTGCCTACTGACCTCGCTGAATAATCGTTAGAAGGATTCGCTATGAAAGACTATAGATCCAACCTAAATCGCATAAGACATCCAAGCGTCATCGTAGAAGATGACCGCTGAACGAATCCTTTAATATCGATCCGTCAACTACCAATACTCGGTACAGTTTGCAACTCTCGGTTACGAAAGAGGAAGACTGGGAAAGATCGAAGGAATGGTTAATTTCCGGGTCTATCGAGGCGACGGCAGCACGGCCGACGGAGGATCTGCGATTCGCGAGGACCTCGGCGCGCAGGATTTTGAGCGGAGCGAGAAGAGGAACCGAGTGGTAATCAATTGGACGTAGCTGGGAGAGGAGAGACGAGCGAGGCGGCTAAGACTGGATGTAAATCATCCGGACAAAGCCGCTTAACGATCCGACAAAGGGTCCGGCGCGGTCCTCGTCCACGAATTATAGAATCGGGAATAATCGCGCGCTCCTCCCGGACCCTTTCTTTTCCTTTTTAAGGATCCGTGGCAGTTTCACGCGGCGGACCATCCTCGTGCAGCGCGAGCGCTGACCGATCTTTAGCCGGTGTCCAGGAACGGTTATGAAATTTATAGCCATTGGTAGCTTTGTCCTCCGGATAGAACAAATCTCTTTCGAGTCTGCCCGGCGTGTCCTCGTCGCGGATCCGGCGATTTCGCGATTTGCACTCGGACCGAGTCGAATGCTCCACCTCGGCACCGTTTCTTTCTTCGCGCCAGCCTTAGGGGAAGCTGGCCAACGTTTGCTCCAACGTCCATTTTTTCTTCCTTTGGTAGCTCCGAACGCCTTTTGTTGCATGGATTTATTGGAATTGATTGGTGGGGTGTAGCGCGCCAATGTTGCGAGCTTTCGCCTAAGACAGGTTTAGAATCCGAGTCGAGGAGTTAAGAAGATATCGCGAAATCACTGGCGCATCCAGACTTGGTCGACGGATCCGAAATCTTCCCGTTGATCCAAAATATTCTCGTACGATAAGTTCCTAGGGTGGAACGCGTGGTTCCGCGATATCCACGATTAACGTCCTCCGGCGTACGCAAAGATATATTATTTTTACGAACGCGAAGCGCAGATCGAAATAGCTAACCGATCTTCTATTCGTTCCCGTCTGTTCCAGGTGGTGAGCTCGATGGACGCGATGAAGTACTCGATGGAAGCCGACAAATACCGCGCCGCGTACATGCCGCCGAGTACACTGGCGATGAGCATGTACTCGGACCACAAGTACCTGGACTCGAGTCCGAAGTCGTATCTGGACCGGAACTACCTGGATCCAGCGAAGGTATACTTCGAGCAGTCGAAACTGTACATGGACCAGAAGCCGGCGGTGTCCGACTACAATCGGTCCAGTTACGAGCATAACAAGCTCTATGACGAGTCCAGCCCCGGCAGCGTGGTGGGTGGCGGTGGTCCGACAAGGTCACCGGCTGCAGAGTCACCGGACATGAGCAAGCAGCACGAGAGGAACGAGCAAGGCTCGTCCAGCGCGAGTTCCACGTCTACCTCGTCCGCTGCAAGTCCCGGGGCGAGTCTACCGGCCTATTACCCAGGTCCAGTGCAAACCAGCGGATTGCTAGGGCCGCAGATGAGCCAGTACAGTGGCTACCAAACCGCCTCAGCGCCTGGAAACGAATCGTTCAGACGGCCACTCGTCATCTTCTGACCCGATAGAACGTAGCTCTGATCCATCTTCGAGGAGCAATTGCCCTGAGTTCGGTCCGCCAGTCTTCCGGAGGATTTAACGCGTGGCGCAGGTAACCAGTGCTCACCTGGCTTCAGAGGAATCCCTGTTCTTGGAAGTTGTACCGGATTTCGCGGAACCGAGACGGTGTGCGACGATCGATGTTGTTGTCTAACGCTCGATTATCGCTAGATTTCACCCTTCCCCCGCGACGACGAAGCAACTGTTCGACTCTTTAGACTCCGAGTTTGACACCTCTTTGACACCTCTTTGACACCTCTTTGACACCTCTTTGACACCTCGATGATTTGTCGGTAGCGTCTCTGATATCGTATCGATTATCTTGCTTGGGTTAAAGTAAGTATAGATCACTGAAGCTTGAGTTAAAGTTGTTTTGCAATTGTCATACTCGATATGCACATACTTGGCGCAAGTGGATAAGTTGGAATCAAAATTGTGAAAGTGTGCGAAGGACGACGAGGAGCCACGACGGCGTAATAACGCAAGTAACAGGCTGAAGATTCGATACAGTAACTGTATTAACGTATAAATATACCTGTAGTAATCCAGAATCGCCAAGACGAACATTCAATCTCACGATGAAACCCGAAATAAAAACTAAACGGTGATATCCCAAAATCCCAAGAACCTCTGAAGCTACACCGAATTTAGAACCTCGCTGGAAGGAACACCCGATGATGCTTGGACCGACGAACGCGTTCACCGGCAAATCGAGGCGATGTCAGGGCCTCAACGGTTCAGATCGTTGAAAGCAACAACGAAGTCGATACTCTCCGTGTTCTAGCCATCCCCAGGCGTCGACCACACGACGCGTGACGTGATTATTTATCGCAGACATAGGGTTTCCATTCTCTCGAGATGGAATTATAAAGAAATTGTACATAGCCCTCGTGTAAATAGTGTAGCAAGGATTATTATCGCGCACGATGCTCGGAAACAGTTTTCCTTCACCCCCAGTTCCCTGTGTCTTCTTTCCATCTTGCCGGAGGATCGAGTCCTTCGGAATCCTTCGGACTCCCGATGGTCGGGACGCCGACGAGAAGCACCCGACGCACTCGTGCACGTCCTTCCAAAGGAACTTGCCCCTTTCGTCACGAACATCCTGCTTTTCGAACATTCCAATGCCACGACTCAGTTGACACGTTCCCTTTTAACGATCAGTAGTGTTAGACGATTGTTAATTTCACGGTGTTCCGTTTCGAACACGGACCCATACACCGACCACGAGTTAGAGCAGGATGAGCCATCAGAGGGTTTCGCGCGACGGAACCTTTGTAAAAGGAGAACGTGTTTTTCGTGCGGTCGTCTGTACGATAAAGAGTACGACGCGTCCCTTTTCGCTCACTTTCTTGTCTTTTCCAATTCTTCTTTTTCCCTTCTTTCCAATTTTTTTTCCTTTTTTTTTTCTTTTTTTTCTTTTCTTTTTAAATCAAGAAGGGGCGAAGAAGATCCTTCGTAGTTTCTTGGTCGTTCGGTGCAGAAGATCGAGGAGAAATGCGACGCGACGAAAGTTTGTTCTTCGTTTTCGAATAAACGTTCGGATATCGATTCTTCCGTTTCGATTTATAGCTATTTATTATTAACGAGGATTTTATTATTATTATTATTGATATTATTATTATTTTTGTTCTACTTAACACGTTGATCATCGAGCGAGAACAGATGTGGTGGAGAGTTCATTGCGTATAGCGTTCGATAACCGGTGACACGGATCGCTGAGAATTTGCCAGAGGATCTGTCAAGTATCGTTTTCCTTTATCGCTTCTTTTCCCTCCTGTTCTTTTCCAATTTAGTTCTCGTTTGTTTAGTCCCGCGACGAAAGTACTCGGTACTTGCCCGTGGAGGAAGATTTTTGGCTTTTTGGTTGTTTCGTTTGCACGTTCGGTTGAACGGTTTCACGAGAGAAAGA